TGATGTTGTTGTTGTTGATGATGATGTTGTTGTTGTTGTTGTTGTGGTTGATTATGATGGATTCTAATAAATCAAACTGTTATGATAATAAATTCCATCTTTAATAAATGTCAACTATTAATTCATCAAACTAAAATTTCTAACTAACTATATGAAATAAGAAAATATTCTGTAAATGTTTTTTCTAAAAAAAACAACCTTAAAAAGTCAGTAATAAACTAACTAAAATATTCAGATCATACATTTTATCTATGTGAAATATTATTACTAATACCACTACTACTACTACGGCTACTACTACGCCTACTACTTCTAGCATCAAATGTGTTTGAATCCTAAATATTTGACAGTATGATTAAAACTGGTGACATAGCCGATCCATAATAAAATTATTTGATTGAGTATTTTTATTGTATTTGACAGCTCAAATAAATTATTAATAGAATTCAGAAGTATTTTATCACTATATGGAAACATAAATAAGATAACTTGTAACAAGATTAAAACAATTAGTTGATTTTATTGAAAGTGTTATATTGAAAATTGACGTATACATATGTCTTCAATTGTTCTTGATTATTCATCTTTTATACATTAATTATATGTTGTTAAGATGGCGGAGAAGATTTGTAGCTCAGGTGGACTAAGCGGACGCCACCTTCACCTTCGCCTACACGAACATCAATTAGCAGTCAAACGCCATGATATCTCCTCACTTATATCAATACACGTGGAAAACCGCGGGCATTCATTCGATTGGAAAAATGTGGAAATCTTAGACAGAGGAAACTCCAAAAACACCAGAGAATTTTTAGAAGCTTGGCACTCAGGTCAATCAGCAATCAACAAGCATATTGAAATCAATCTCATTTATTAACCAGTCAGGAAAATCATGCACAAATATAGGAACAAAAATCAAACCAATGGAAGACACAACAAAAACAAAGAAGTAAACAATGACAAATTTAAGGTCAATAAGAATCGATCAACATCGAGGTGCACAGAACAAGCTGTGAAACACATATGGAGAAATTCGAACACTTCACTTTTATCTGAAGTTTGTGCTGATGATGTCGTTCAGAAGAACGATGACAGCTCCACGATCAAACCACCCATCTCAAAGAACAAAACTCCACCAAAGTTATATGTTGTATCATAACTCCGCCTGAAGCCCCTCTAGGGCTACTACCTATCCCAAGCCCAGATAAAGGAGGAAGGTTGGGCATAGGATTAGCGATCCTATCCAGTAGAAAAACAACTCGCTAAACCAGAAAAATAACTTAAACTCTGCTCTGAGAATTAGAAAGTTGTCACTTAGAAGAGTTATGACGTCTCATGATGAAAGCTGAGTTTCTTCGGAATTTATGAGGCTGATGACTCTTCTGATAACCAGAGAAACCATTAATTTAAGTACATGGAATGTTCGTATCATATTTGTATGAATTATAGATTTTTACATAATTTTGTTTGATTTACTTAATCGAGTTTTAAAAGCTTTAAATTCACAAGTTAATCTTGACTAAAAACGAACTTAGTGATGAGAGATATTGTGAAAGAAATAAAGTTATTACTTATGAAGGTATTACAGAAAATGAATCTCTTATTTTTCTCAAATTGTGAAACTATTTACCAACTATTATTCTGTTGTGTGTAATCATGTGAAACGTATAGGTTTTGTTACAAACTACAACACAATCAGTCAAACTGAGATGAGATTAAAGTATAATTTAAAAGGTATGTTAATGTCTTGAGATGAAGAACTCATTAATATACCACAAATGTAACAATTAATGTACAATAAATAGGCTTCAATCAATGATATTAAAAAAAAAACAATTATAAGTAACGAATAGTTAGACAGTTAAAATCAATCTGCCAAATATTTCCAATGGCATCAATATTACTTTTAACTAATAAAAAGAATACAATAGGTAGGTCTACCTACAGTCCAAGAAGTTAACTACAGTCAATTTTCTTCTTCCTGTGATGATAATCAATGGAAGATTGATTTAAGTTAGTAGATATCAATATATTATTCATTGTCTTCCTGCCTAGAGTACTATCTCATCGCTTTGTTAGTTTACTTTACAAAATGATCGAACAACGTAGCTAATGTTGACACCCTTTTTTATAAGCTTTTTATTGTTATAAATCTATTCGTAAGAAATCTATATGATGATGATTAGATAATTAGGTACTAAATGATTATTAACACTCTTTATTTATGTCCAACTAGATAGAGAACTAATAAAAACTCTGAACACTAAATGAAATGATATACCATTATATCATACTATTTCTTGGAATATTTCTGTTGCACTCAAATATTAAAATATATCAGGAAGGTTTTTTGTGGATATTATAGTAATTTCAATAGTTGAGATCATGAATCAATTGAAGCTAGACCATCATGAAAAAAATGGTAGCATTGGATGCCGGGTTAGTGGTCTAGAGATTAGGCGTATGCGTGTAAGGACGATAGATCCTGGGTTCGAATCTCGTGACGCAGGATCGTTAATGCGCACTGTTGAGAAGTCCCGCAATAGGATGAAACGACCATTCAGTGCTTCCAGGTTTTCCATGGTGATCTAGCTTTAATTGACTCATGATCTTAACGATTGACATTAAAATATATGTGAAATGTAGAAAAATGCAACATTAAGAAAAAAGAAAACAATGAATCTCATTAATTATATCATAATTGAAAGCGAAAATTAAGTATAAAGTATTAACAGGAGCCAATTTGAGTTATTTATCATTGAAGAACAAAATAAATTGTTTAAATGAATAATTTTTAAAATTTATTTTAATTGCCAAATTAAAATAAATCGAAAGTTTCGTCATATGATTACATTTTAATCTATATTTGACAAGTATGATAGGTTAGATACTGTAAATAATTTAGTCATTGCATGTTATACAATTGAGCCCATGATCTATTATGAGTAATAAGACATTAAAAAGCTAATCATATAATATGATACTTATTGTATATTCATATATTATAAAATATTAACTAGTGAAAAATACTGATTTTTACATGTTCATTTTAGCATTTTATTTTCTACTGAATGGGGTTAGGGACCCTATGCCCAACCATCCTACTTAACCCAAGCTTCGGACCACCAGTCATTCTAGGAGAGCTACTGGAAGAGTTCATACGACGGGCTAAGATGCAAAGTCGTGCATGGAAGACAGCTAACAGATGTATTCCAATTAACGATTGTTTACTCTCCCTACTCGGCTTTCTTATGGTGGTCCACTGGATTATGAAGACCTGCACATCTGTCTAGAAGCACGGTATATAATCGACAGCTCGACCCGTCT